AAAAAAATGGAGGTTGGTCTGCGAGTAGTTCGTGGTCCAGATTGGATGTGGGGAGACCAAGATGGAGGCGAAGGCAATGTCGGAACAGTCGTCCATCTTGGAGGGAATAATAGCGTGCCCGATGAAACTGTTTTGGTTTACTGGGATTCTGGAAAGCAGGCGAATTATAGGGCAGGATATTCTGGAAAGTATGATCTTCGAGTCTTTGACACTGCTCAAACAGGCAAGTAAATTATTCATCTACGTTTGTGGCGAAGAATTTAGTGTTTTTGTTACTTCTGTACTACTTGCTGTTAACTTCATCCGCATTTGTAATTCATGCGCGGGCGAATTTTAAGATGTTTAGATTCGCGTACACTTTTTAACTTTGTTTCTGCGTGGTTTTATTCAAGATCGATTCTCCGATCTTGAACACCTGTGTGTCGAAATTCTTTCGGCGACGGATAGAAAGCAACGGTTCCAGAACAAATTAGAATAATTAATGCTCGTTCGATTACCTGGCATTAAATTCACTCCAAATATAACTGATGTACTTTTAGAGTCAATAGTATTCGTAGTTTGATCTGAATGAATAACTGAATGTGGATTTCGTTGATCATGAGAAAAAGCTGGATTCTAGAATGTCTTCTTTGATTTTGTATTTTCAAGTTAAGAAACATACTCAAGTGAATGGCTCCCTTGGCCCCTTGATCCCCCCCNTAATTCATGCGCGGGCGAATTTTAAGATGTTTAGATTCGCGTACACTTTATAACTTTGTTTCTGCGTGGTTTTATTCAAGATCGATTCTCCGATCTTGAACACTTGTGTGTCGAAATTCTTGCGGCGACAGATAGAAAGCAACGGATTCCAGAACAAATTAGAATACTTAATGTTCGTTCGATTATCTGGCATTAAATTCACTCCAAATATAACTAATGTACTTTTAGAGTCATTAGTATTCGTAGTTTGATCTGAATAAATAACTGAATGTGGATTTCGTTGATCATGAGAAAAAGCTGGATTCTAGAATGTCCTCTTTGATTTTGTATTTTCAAGTTAAGAAACATACTCAAGTGAATGGCTCCCTTGGCCGTTTGGTCCCCCCCCACTGGTATTTGTCAGACACTTGAAAACTTCTTCTGCCCCAGGGTGGGACATTTTGCTTTAACAGATCTTCTCAGGGAGAGGTGCACTGTGAGAGTAAATGATCTTGTCCAAGAACACAACAGAAAAATCCCGGCTAGGGCTGGAACCTGGATCCAGAGTCCAGCATTTTACCTAACCATTAGGCCATTGTAACACCCACTTTCCACTGAGTACTTCCAGAAAATTTCCAACCCCTTCCTCCCCACTAATGTAAGCTATTTGAAATCCCATCTTGCATTATTAATGGCTCAGGTGACTCTGAAATTGATAAATTTACCAGTCAACTTGGATCAGACAGGCAAAATTGTACTGTCCTGAAGATGCATGTATATTCCGTCGCTTGTATCTAAGCATAAGCATGTGACGCCAAGACATGTTCTCATTGGATGTCAAATGTGGCATGGTTGGTCATCAAACATTTGAAGTTTAGCAGACCGTAACACAAATTTTCGTGCTCTGAAAGACTCTGAAAGTCTTTCTCCCGCCAATATTTCATGGTATAAGTAAACCACTTTCACGAAAGGCATATGCATATTGACACAGGTCAAGGTCAATTTCACTAAAGAAGTCTCCAATGTCCAATCTTTCTGCTGAACTTTGAGCATGAAAGTGCATGCCACAGTCCACTAAACTTCAAATGTTTGATGACCAATCATGCCACATTTGACACCCAATTAGAGCATGTTTCTTTTGCCAGAAACAATAACAGGCTCTTAACCAATGAAAAATACTTAACATTTTTTGCCTCTGAGCTTAATGTTTGGTGCCAAAACTGGGTTGCCTCAGTATTTGGCAAATTGTTTGTCAAGTGTTGCTACAAGCTAAAAGTAATGGTACAGGCAGCTTACATGTATCTCATGTGCACTTATTCTCTTTGTGGCACAAGGAAATAACATAGGTAGGCAATGAGCTTACGTGACAGGCCTGATATGAAATATAAGTTAAAGTAATATGACTCATAGCATAGCATTTTGACAGGTGTGAAGCACAACAGTGTTACTTGTGATGGCTGTAGGGAGAACCCTCTCATTGGAACTCGATGGAAGTGTGCTGATTGTTTCAACTATGATTTGTGCTCAGCTTGTTTCATGAATGATGTTCATGATAAACAACATGCATTTCTACGTTTTGACCAACCTGATGGAAGTGGGTGGGTTCATTTTACTTATATTTATTCTCCTCTGTGATCCCTACCACCACCCCCCCCCCC